TGCTTCTGCTATGTATCAGAGATGGCACAGCGAGACAGAGAAGCACGCGGGGAACTGAGCAGAACCAAGTGCGGCGCAATACAAACCCCTCGGAAAAAGGCGGCGCAATCGTCGTCACAAGACGACAGCCGCCCAACCACCCCCCGACACCCGACGCTGGACGATTTCACCTCGAGCTAATTTCACCTTTGCTGCGGACGGACCGAGGATAGGGGATAGAGGGTGGAAGAGGAAGGATGGGTGAAAACGTACATACCAGATGTCCACGAAGGAAGTACAACATCCTCCCACAAGAAATCGAGGCTTTTATGTGCATGCTTGTTATGTATTCTCAAGTCGTTTGGGAATGACAAAGAACCATGGCGTTTTGGACATTTGGGGATCACGTTGCCTCGGTGGTCTCGTGTCTTGCGACATACCAAACGTGACGCTCGAGGCAAGTCAAGGCGCAATGCGTTCGATTTTGTTGCTGCGTGTGCGGGAGCGTTGTTCTCACCGAACTTGGGACCCGCTCCCGCTACATCTATCTTCACTCGGGCGGCACGACACCAAGTTTTGCGTTGCTGCGTATCCGGGGCCGTGGGGTGCTTTGCCCTGGAGGTCGGCATCGCGTGCTTCGTCACGTTCACGGTCGAGTTTTTCGATCTCGAGTGAGATGAGGGAAAACTCTGAAGAGGACGGGTGGTCACACTTCACGAGATACGCCCCAGCAGTCTGCCATCGCGGCGACGGGTTGTTCTGCGGGGGGCTGCGTATCTCGGCATCACCGACCGTGGTTTAACCTTTCGGAAAGAGAAGAAGCAGCAGCTAAGCAAGTGGCTCGGCAAGGAGAAGCAGCCCATGCGGGAGAAGGAGCAGCTGCGCGGGGATGTTAAAAGAGCTCTTGTTAGCTCCTGTTGGCCCAACTAGTTGTGGTATTGAGGGGGTGATGTCAACCTATTTTGGAAACAGCTTGAAGAGCACCAGAAAAATGCACACGAGACACACAAGACCAATCTGAAGGCATCGGGAAAAATAGGAATCGTGGACTCTCGCACAGGGCGACAGTTGTAGTAGAGGCTGCTCTAAACATAAATACTGGTATCATGCCGTCTACCTCCACATGGCTTCTTGACATCAAGATACATACTAGATAAGGCGGGGTAATGAGCCGCTGGGTAGCGACTCAATACCTTGCAGTAGTCGTACCTGTGATGCTGATTCTGCACGAATTCCGACAAACAGCATGAATCGTTTGTGGTGAAGCTACGCGTGCACCAGAGGAACAGGTGTGCGACGGGCTCATTGTGGTTGAATGTGTGGCCCCGTTCAAAATTTTGCACTTTACATGCGGTTGTTTCTTTTCCGTTGATGCACATGCACACAAACAGGTGGCCAGTGGGCACGGTTACGGGGGGGTTGAAGTGACCTGTAAACTTTAGGCGTTGTGCAACCTGCGTAACCCGGTCGGGCGCTCTATTGCCAACCTCCAAGGTCAGGTAGGGTTCCGAAACGTCGGCCCAAACCCAGTGAAGGGACACTTGTATCTGTGCTTGGTTGCAGGCGAGGTTGTCAAAGCCCGAGAATGTCCATGCCTTCCCGCGAAAACTATGTACCAGCCGGTGTCCACAGAGTACACGACGCACCGATTTATCGGACATTCGCGGCAATAAACAAAAATAACTTCAGTAGTGCCGGCATTTGGAAGCCTGATTTTTATATAGTTGACGACCGTTAGACGTGCAAAAATACTGTCGCTCCGTTTTTTTTTTCGCACGCGCGCGTCGCGCGCGGAAAAAACTCCTAAAAACAGTACACCCCCCCCCATCTCAGGATGCAGTGCACCCTTCATGCGACTCGCCGAATATCTCACGGCGCTTCGCGCTTGGTGATGTGAGAGCCTGGTCCGGTGAGAACCCGGCGTGCTCCGTCCCGGCTCTGTAGGGATGCGAGGTCAATGGTCTAACGACTACGGCATGCACGACTATGAGTACACCCCCCCCCTCCCACGGACCCCAATCTCCGCACCACCAGTACTATTTTCAAGGAACCTCCTCCTCGCCGCTGATCTGCAACTAACTGCCCACCGGTCACCCCGCGAGTAGCCCCTCACCCCTTCGTGAGTGTTCACTATATCTTGCAGCTGTCGCGTTTTGGGGGCTCTGTTCTTACACCACATAGAATGGCGGCTTCGTTCTTGTCACCACGTCGGGCCTGAGCACGCACGTGTGTTGTTGTTATTATTTTGTGATCAATTTCTTTGATTTTGATTTTTTTCGAGGCCGCATTTCTTAACTGTCAAGTTCTTAAGTGCGAGCGCCATCTTGATCTTGTGATCATGATGTAGTGCCGGAAGCAACATAGACATGGGTCTACTCTATTTGATATATATATATCTATTGTTGCGTAGAAACACGCACGGCAACGATTGGTGGGCAAGGCGAAGAATGAGAAAAAGAGAGAGTAGGCGATGATATACTATATACATACGCCGCCTCTTTCTGTAAAAGTCAATACCACAACACGTCCGTCCGTTCGTACGTACGTCTCCTTGACATATACGTAGTATAACAATAATAAACAACGTATTCGCCTGATTGAGAGCGTAGCATCTGATTGAGAGCGAGATTGCGCGATACGCTGTAGCCGGACTACCACTGAGAGGTGGAGCTTGCTGTGTAGCTTGAATTGAAGGGCTAGCCCGTAGCTTCAAGCCGCTACCCTGGTCATCCTGTGGGAGTCTCTCGTTGTGGAGCTACAGCGGGGAGCAGAAGCTACAGCAGAGCCCACCGCCCGACGCGATACCGCCCTGAAACAGTTTGAGCAGAAATAGCCAATCTGGGCAAATCTAGCAACTTGTCTAGCTCCTCGCTGCAGCATCCGATGACGATGACACGCATATGCTCGCGAAGCTGCTGATGAGACCTTCAATTTGCACCGCTTCTTGGAATAGCCCGTCCCCTACTTGCCAAGAAATGGCAAGAGGCGTCTGGACCCGAAATTTCAATTTTTTTGGCTCTCGCTCTCAATCAGATACTTCGCTCTCAATCAGGCGAATATGTTGTTAATAGTGGTCGGCTATAGTATTCTTACATAATAATATAATCTTTGCTGAAAAGAATTGCGCGGTCAGCATGAAATAATTCTACACTTCGAATATATGTTGCTGCTGTGGAACATAAAAATTTAGCTGACCAAAAACTTCCCATTGAACGATTGGTAATGGAAAAACATTACTTGGAGTTTCTGCTTTTTGCGTGGGGGGGAACGCAGAGTATAAGTGTGCTCTTATCGGCCGCGTGGGTGGAGTTGCCACCATTATTTCCGCCCCCACTATAGATTCATAGAATTTGAGATCACGGCTGGATATGTTTCAACATGTAGCGTAACGGTCATCCATCAATTTTTGTAGACCAAAGTTGCTGGTTGGATCCGCCCCGCGTTGTGTTTCTTCACCGATCATTTTGAAGTAGAGAAGAGTTGTCTGCCGATGTATTGCGATATAGACAAGGGTGGAACACAATGAAGCAAGGGAGGGGAAAGCTCACACATATTTTTTTCTTTTCTCCTCCTTCACACCAATCCGCGCATGACCGCCTTCATAACCCGGTACGTAATGGCCGCTCGGCCTGTAACCCCCCCATTTTATCCCATGTAATATCCCCTGGTTGGTCGGAGGTTACACAATGCCCCCGTACAACCGTGTGCACTGGTCACCTGTGCACTCACCAGAAATAGAAAAGCTTCCCGCTGTGTGGACGTAAACACGCACATAAGGGCATCTGGAAGAGGCACGTGTGCGGCCGGCATGTACCTGGCGGCGAGCGTATCACACAACAACCGGTCGTAGCCTGCTAAGGGCCAGGTCATGGGTTCGAGTCCTGACAGAGTGACTTTTTTCTCGCTGATTTAATCCTGGTCTCCGTTGGAAGCGACGCGCCGCAAAGTTCATTGTTAATAACCTTGATCGACTTCATAAGTCGCGAGGGAAGGGATTGCTGTACCCTGTTCATGATATAAATATCTCAGGCAGGAACCTCAGGAGGGGGTCCCACCCCCCCCTCCTATGTGACCCCAGTTGGGTCGTCTAGCTGGTAGAAGTGGAGGATAGGGGCCAGAGGGGCAGACGAAAGAATCCAATGATGGGAGAAAAACAAGCAAACAAACATCACACCGTCGAGGAGCACGACCAGCAGCGTAGGCATAGGATTGTGACAAGACAGTTGACAACTATTGCGCCAGGCTCACAACTTGCCTGCCACCTTCGTCTCAAGCCTTCCGAGTTTCTCGCCAAGTAAAAGCAAGTAATCTACATGTGTTATTGTTCGTTTGTTTCAATCGGTCTGCTGTTGTTGTTTTGGGAGCAGGCGGTTGGACCGCTCAACATCAATATCCACCCGCCAGGTTACACACGGCACATGAAAATACCCACGGCGCACTGGTCGTTTAGGCCCGGCCCCTCCTGGTTTTCATAGATAGCTGTTATCGGATCAGCGTTCGGTTGTTCTCCTTCTTCTGTTGATGTGGTGTTGTCCTTCCGGGGTTTGACCTCTACTGCGTGTCTGCTGTGTGTATGTGCAATCTCCCACAGCTTGCACAACTCCTGGCCATCCGGGGATGCGATCTCGTACGAATTTGGGTAACATATGCCTGTGAAGCACGGCCATCAGTTGCCGAAGCACGACCTCGTAATAATTCTTCTTGCTCAGAAGTGAACAGATCGTCAAACGGTGCCCTATAGGTCTTGTTCTGGTCAGATAGGTGTGATTAATATGCAAAACGGAAATCAAACTTTAGGCCCCTGCAACACGCGGCGGAACTCAGGCCCCTTTTGGAAGAGAAAGAAGGTCGCGCTTCGCTCCGCGGCTCATTACAAAATTCACAACAGCCTAAATTCAAGTCAGAAGAATCAAAACGGCAGGTGCTCGAATAATGGTCAGTTTTGCAAGCGAAGCCTTCCGTATGGTGTCCATTGATATCACTATTACGGTGGAACACAATAATCAAGACCAAATTGGGCACTTCCCGTTCTCTCTCAAAAAAAAACATTCTGTCGAAATCCTCTCTCCCGCGAAGTTGATAGAAAAACACACACTCTTTTGCAACTTTTGCACGCAATAAATGAGCAACACACACACAGTGTGGGTTCAACAGAAAGCCTGTTACATCAGCTGTCGAATGGCGCTGGTTTCATGCCCATCGAACAGTCACAGCACGAAGTGAACGGCGCCAAAAGCAGGCACTTCATGGCAGCAATTTTCAAGCGGGCATACTTGTTGCGGGTCCGGAAAAAACAATTAGGTTCTAAAATAGGACCTGATGCAAACTGCTCAACATGGCGCGTACAACGCTAAAACAAAAATTGAATTTGAGCCGGCCTTTGTAGAGCAACTCGCCGCCCACGCCAGGCACCTGGCCAATCCAGCACCTACCATGACCAAGCGTGGTAGACGGGTACCGACAGGCGGCACCAGTGGCCGTCCACCTACAGCGATCAAGGGGGCCAACGCTGCGGCCGCAAGAAATGCAAAGGCTATGAACAAGCTCCTGGATGATATGGAGAAGAGAGAGGCGGCCACCGCCGCTGCCGAAGCAGCTCTCGCGGCCAAGGAAGAAGAGGTGAAGGCCGTGAAGGCGTCAGTGGACAAGGATCGGGAAAAGCTCGCGCGGGACATCGCGAGGTCGGACGTGCTTTAACAGCAGCTTGAACGGCGAGAGCAGGATCGTGTCAGCAAGGTTGCTGAAGCGGCGACTTCCAAGCTTGCCCCTCTCGCGCTGAAGTTTGTCAGGGACTCTGTGCAATCACTGAGGCCCAAGACTAGCGAGCTCACCACCCTGTNCCGCCGCTGCCGAAGCAGCTCTCGCGGCCAAGGAAGAAGAGGTGAAGGCCGTGAAGGCGTCAGTGGACAAGGATCGGGAAAAGCTCGCGCGGGACATCGCGAGGTCGGACGTGCTTTAACAGCAGCTTGAACGGCGAGAGCAGGATCGTGTCAGCAAGGTTGCTGAAGCGGCGACTTCCAAGCTTGCCCCTCTCGCGCTGAAGTTTGTCAGGGACTCTGTGCAATCACTGAGGCCCAAGACTAGCGAGCTCACCACCCTGTAGCAGTCGCGGATTATTCTCATGCTGTACTTCGACCTGGTGAAAGGAGGCAGCTCTGAGAACCACGCAAAGGAGCAGGTGAGAACCAAGAAACATGGCTGTTGCGTACAAATATCAGTATAAAGACGCATGTCGTTGTTACGTTTTTACAGCAGTGCCATGTTCTTTTTTGGTGCAAATGTATATATGCATATACATACATCCCACCCAAGATTTGTACAAGCAACAACAGTGCTTGACATCATGCCAGTACCGCTGCCGGCCCATATCGTCACACTGCTTGCACTACTGTACTGATGCCCATTACTGCTGTATAATACTTGAGTGGTATGTATAACGGTATGCTGCGAGCTGTACAGCAGTGTATCAGTACAGCAGTTACAGCAGCGCTTTGTACCGCTGAATTTAAAGGAATGTATGTGCATGGCACCACCATTCTCCTCGCGTGCGCTGTACGTTGTCTACACTCTGCCGTCCCTTTAACACCGGCTTTCGTACACCAACGCCATACACTGCAACGCAATACACTGCTGTATTCTTACAAACTTTTTCCCACCCTCCCTCTGTGTGGATGACCCATCTTTATCAGGTCGCGAAGACCTTGAGGATCGGTACGGACAAGGTCCTGGCGGTTCGCACACTCTGGTATGACAAGCAGGAGTTGTACGAGACCAACGGGAAGGGGCGAGGCAAGGCCACCAGCGTCGACGACGGGCGCGTGCCATCACCAAGGATNGTGTGGATGACCCATCTTTATCAGGTCGCGAAGACCTTGAGGATCGGTACGGACAAGGTCCTGGCGGTTCGCACACTCTGGTATGACAAGCAGGAGTTGTACGAGACCAACGGGAAGGGGCGAGGCAAGGCCACCAGCGTCGACGACGGGCGACGTGTCATTACCAAGGAGCAAGAGGATGGACTGCGCGAGTTCATCAAGGGCGAGCACGAGGCGGGACGTCAGGTCTTCCGCCGTACCGTCAAGGATTACTTGGAGTGTTCGTGCGGATTAGAGATGTCGAATCGTGCTATGAGAAGGTTGCTGCAGCGCCTTGGCTTCAAGCGCCGTAGGGGTAGGATCAAAATACCCCCGTTGAACGAGGAGAGGAATTAACCTCATCCGCCTCTTCCTTAAGATGGACCTCGCGAAGAGGGCCGAGGACGCTGGGGTCGCAGTTATTGTATACATGGATGAGAGCTTTGTTCACCAGGCGCATGGTTCCGCGTACTCGTACTTTCCTTCTGACGATAAGGGGGTTGTGCAGGATGGGACAGGCCGTACAACGGGGAAATGTTTGCGTATGATCATGGTGCATGCGATCACGAAGCACAGGCCCTTGGTCGATCTACAGGAGGGATTTCCTGTCCGTGAGGGTTTGTTCAAGGCANCTACAGGAGGGATTTCCTATCCGTGAGGGTTGGTTCAAGGCTAAGGAAAATCGTGCGAAGAAGATTAAGCCTGGCGAGGCGGATTTCGAAATGTCAGATGAGCAGACAGCAGAATTTCTGTGGCAGGCCAAGTTGGCAACCGGAGATTATCATAACGCCATGACGGATGGGATGTTCATGCAGTGGTTGAAGCACCGACTTACCCCGGCCTTCGATGCGCAGTTCAACAACAAGAAGATATTTCTCGTTCCCGATAACGCCTCATACCAANCGCAGTTCAAGAACAAGAAGATGTTTCTCGTTCTCGATAACGCCTCATACCACCACTGCTTTGACGAGGAGGTTAAGGTGCCCGAAACCAACAGTAAGAAGTACAACGTCGAACTCTTGCGCAAGTACGGTTGCAGGTCGTTCAAGGTGACGCGTGAGTCGGAGGGTAAGGCTGCTGAGTACAACTTTGAGGTCCCGGCGCAGGGGTCGCTACCCAATGCGAACCGCAAGAATGGCGTCAGCAAAGAAGAGATAGCCTCCGTCACTCGGACGTACTTCAAAAATAGTTTCCCACAATAGGTCGAGGAAAAGGCTGAGACGTACATGAGGGAGAAGGGGTGGGGGTTAATTTGGACACCGCCGTACATGCCGACTTTCCAGCCGATCGAGCTGTTCTGGCAGCACGGCAAGCATTACGTGAGCATTCATTTTGAGAAGGGGCGGAACATGTTGGATGTCTGGAAGAAAATCTGTCTCGGTTGGTATGGAGACCTGGAATGAGACGGTCAGGAGGGGGGGTGGAAGGCAGCCAACTGTGGAAAGTTGGTGCAGCATGCCATTGGCAAGATGGAAGAGTGGATCGGCCTGTATGGTGGAAACCTGAGCCGCACGGTCGGTAGCCTTGATATCCAGTGGCAGAGTACCAAGAGGCTACGGCCGAGGATGAGATAGAGGATGGGGTGGAGGAGCAGACGGATGAGTGGCTGGGTGAGGACGCAGAAGATGCCATTGAGGGCTGAAAAAAATGCTAAAAACAAATGCCCTTTTTTGAGCCAATATTTTTCGACTTTGATTCCCGAACAGCGACAATAAGGGGCTGCACAGAAGGCGCCATTCTGAGTGCAAGCTGAAATATTGTTTGATATTTAGCAATTGAGATGGCTGTATCATCCTGTTCAACCAATATATGGATCACTTGTGCAAGCCCTGGGGCCGCATCGTTGGAACACCGCGCTTCAATATTTTTGGAACTTCGCCGGGTATGATAACACACTAATTTCGTAATACTACTCGAACACGGTGAAGTTTTTTTATTTGTTTTTTTTAGAAAGAGAGCTCTGTGCTTTGTTGTCAATTTGCGCTAGAGTTTGTGATAGGGGACTCCGTATTGACGAAGTTACACAATATTCCAATTTGGTCTTGACTACTATGTTCCACCGTAATAGCAGAGCCCTGTCCACAAACAGCATTCATCCGACGTACAGTAGTCGTCTCAGTCTCCATGGCTACCGTACGACCCATCTCGGCGGCCGTAATCGAGGGTTCAATTGTATCGTCTGTCCAGCATTCAGCATATTCGACCAGAGCCTCGCGCAGGTCATCTTCGTCAGTTCGGTGCTATCAATGTTGGTCCGTGACAAGCATTTCCGAATAGACTCTCGCAGCAGTTGAGAGACAGTGAGCAGGAGCCGTTTCATGAATTGTCCACTGTTACAGACACGCATGCTTCACTCTTTCTCGCGGTAGTGCGTATAGGAACGCGAGGATGAAGGTCTCGAGAAATTGTCTCAGTACTCGGGCAGTTTGGGCACATTAATTTTTTTTTTTGGTTCTCACTTCAAATCAACGCTCACAGCACTGGTGCCATTTATCCCAACCCGTGGTCACACAGACGAGCCCTTCTCTGCCCTCCCCTCCCGCAGTACTTTGCCTTCGATTTTTAATGCGAGAAGAGTTCACCACTCCCTTCCCTCTGTGTACACACGAACTAGCGCTATCGACTAAGCCAGGAGCGGAAGCGAGACAAAAGCTCACTTTGCAAGAAAAGCTCGCTTACGCCGGGATTCATACCCGTGACCTGACCTCTAGAAAGTTTCGAGTTACCGACTAGACCACCGGGGCGACCGTTGCCCACGACCAAACCGTTGAGCCTACCCTGGATATCACCTATCTCTCCAGGAGAACCGTGCTGTCCGCCAAGCGACACCTTGTCAACTGTGAAGTGTCTCTGGGCCATCGCGCCGTACGATATCGAGGCAGATCAAGACAGCAGCATCCGCGAGATCAAGACAGCAGCTCGCCCACCCTAATCTCGCAATCAGCGAAGCGGGAAAATCGCGGAGGACTTACTTGGACTGCTGTCGCCACGAGAAATATTTTTGACCCTGACTAACCCTGGTCGGTCAGCCTGATTTATCGATAACTATGTAACTGTAGACTATCCTGAAAATCAAGCAGGGCCTTGGACCAGAGTCCTCCCCCCGTGGCCTTGGGGGGCTATTCGATTCACTCCCTTGGTGATGATATGCAGAGGGTAATATTCACACAAGTCTTTCTGCATTGATCTCTCTTCTCCATCCCTCTCTCTCTCCCTTCTGCCAACATGACGACCAGGCAGATACAAACCCCAATCTACGGCATTCCGCGAATGATGTGGTTCGAAGTCGTAAGACGTAATGGTTGGTAGAGCGTCACCCACCGCGATTCCATCTTCGGTGTCCTGGCCGAATAGGGTTTTCGGTGGAAGGTGTATCAGCATGTCGTCAAGACCCAACGTCCCCTCCAGAAGGAAGATCTAGATATCCACAAGGTGCAGACGAGGCGGAGTAGGAACCGATCGTGTGCGCGCGTTGTGAGCCGGTCACATTCTGCGGCGGGGCACTAGTTGTTCGTGGTGCGCGTTCGCCGGCGTGGGTCCACACCAAAACTTCTCATGACCTGCACGGGGCCGTGGAAGATTGTCGCTGCCGAGAGACCGCACGTTTGCAGAGTTCAGAACATCTTTTCGGGCAGAGTTCGGGAAGTCCACGTTGCGCGGTTGCGGTTTTACGTAAATGCCACTGGGCTACATACACATATCGGAACGTCCCATATGAAAAGCTTGGAGCTTGTGCAGCAAAGTGGGAATGACCCCCAACCCAAAACGTCTACCTGCTGCCTCGAAGTTAAAAAAATCTTAGTAAATTCAGTAATGTTCGCAAAAATCGTCTTTCACAGCAGTATGACATCGGTCGCACGAACACAGTCAATGATGTCGCACAAAAGACGTGAAATAGGTTTTGTCACCTCACGGTGAGCAGCCATAGCTATAGCACACCGCAACAGCAGAATAGAGCTGTACTATGTTGCACACTTGAGTAGCCGTGGAAAGTATACACCAACACTTCACAACAGACAACACAATGGACGTGACAGAGTCAACGAGTCTGTGGAAATGATACGGTGTATCTAATGACTCGGCAAGGGTATAGATTTTCCAAGCAACACACGGCGTGGTTTAGAACTCGTCAACCTTTGAAATTACAAACAATAGGGGTTAATAGACTTGTGTTTGATGGTTTCACAACGGATCCCTTCATCACAAAAGACCCCATAAATTATTTATGAGAAAAGCGTTCAATGGTGTAACGACTACGGCACGCACGACTATGAGTATGAGTACACCCCCCCGGTGTTTGCCATCGAGGTCGGGTTTTCGTCGCTTGGCAACGACGTTGGAAAACAAGCAAACTCACTTCGTGAACTCGACAACCAGGTTACCGTTTTTTTTTTGGCGGCAACCATACTGGTGGTCGAGTACATCATGTTGTGCGGGGTGGAGAAGCCTCACTCCGCGCAAGGGGGATGATCGCACCACGTCGTGTTAAAATGGTCAAGCACCCTCGAGGCAGTTACACAGTGCTTACAACTGTCTCTGGAAGTGAAAGCACCAGAAAATAAATTAATTCATACGCAGCTGTCATCCGTACGCAAGGAAGTAAGCACAAGATGCCGAACACCCTTAGCAGGATGCAGCGCACCCTTCATGCGACTCGCCGAATATCTCACGGCGCTTCGCGCTTGGTGATGTGAGAGCCTGGTCCGGTGAGAACCCGGCGTGCTCCGTCCCGGCTTTGTAGGGATGCGAGGTCAATGGTCTAACGACTACGGCATGCATGACTATGAGTACCCCCTCCCCCCCTCCCTTGCGCTCCTATCTNGTGAGAGCTCTTTGATGATCCAGAAAATATTCGCATAGGTCACATGATTCCAAGGGTAAGCAGATCCGAGACAGATAATGATTGATGTATTCCGGAGAGACAGTCGTCAACACATGGTACTACGTCGTAGCTGTGATGCCACACCAAACCAATCACGACGGCCCAATGCTGCTGGCTTCTACTCCCCCCTCCCTCACACCCTGGGAAGGCTGCCCTACGGGGGTCATGTGGCTCTCGTGTCCATCATTCTTGAGAGTTGAGGTAGACTGGGCAACTGTGAGAGCTGTTTGATGATCCAGAAAATATTCGCATAGGTCACATGATTCCAAGGGTAAGCAGACCCGAGACAGATGATGATTGATGTATTCCGGAGAGACAGTCGTCAACACATGGTACTTGCGTACGTCGTAGCTGTGATGCCACACCAAACCAATCACGACGGCCCAATGCTGCTGGCTTCTNTCCCCCCCCTCACACCCTGGGAAGGCTGCCCTACGGGGGTCATTTGGTCTCGTGTCCATCATTCTTGAGAGTTGAGGTAGACTGGGCAACTGTGAGAGCTCTTTGATGATCCAGAAAATATTCGCATAGGTCACATGATTCCAAGGGTAAGCAGATCCGAGACAGATAATGATTGATGTATTCCGGAGAGACAGTCGTCAACACATGGTACTACGTCGTAGCTGTGATGCCACACCAAACCAATCACGACGGCCCAATGCTGCTGGCTTCTACTCCCCCCTCCCTCACACCCTGGGAAGGCTGCCCTACGGGGGTCATGTGGCTCTCGTGTCCATCATTCTTGAGAGTTGAGGTAGACTGGGCAACTGTGAGAGCTGTTTGATGATCCAGAAAATATTCGCATAGGTCACATGATTCCAAGGGTAAGCAGACCCGAGACAGATGATGATTGATGTATTCCGGAGAGACAGTCGTCAACACATGGTACTTGCGTACGTCGTAGCTGTGATGCCACACCAAACCAATCACGACGGCCCAATGCTGCTGGCTTCTAGCGCCCGGCTCACCCGGGGGTGTGGGTGGACGGGTGAGTCGTGGGGTGATTGTTGGTGAGAACGGCTGCTGCCGATTGATTTGCGGCGTGTTTGCCAGACAGCGTCTTCGCCATCGTAGTTCAACGTATCTACATACCCCCGCCACTCACTCTCCCCCGCGGCCCTCGACGTGATGTATAGCATCTGCAGTAGCGGGGAACGAGATGAACTGGATGTCATGGAGGCCGGATACTGCAGTAGAGGCGTGTAGAGGAGAAACACATGCTTGTCGCTGTCCGTGGAATTGTAATAATGGACAAGAAAGCCATATGGTCTTCGATGACGCCAAGGGCAGTCGGCGTTCGCAGTTGGTATTGGTGAAATGATTAAGGGGAATTTCCGTCTTCGTGGTCAATCAAATCTGGACTCATTCGACTAGGGTTATGGACTCGCAAATATCTCTGATATATACCGTTGAATCTCTCGCTACCTACAGGCACGCGCCATGCTTTTTCGATGGCGATGTTGGGCTGTTTGGGTTGCATAAACGCGTTGTGGAAGGTCTGCTCTGACCAGGGAATGTGTTCACATCGGTTCTAGACACCGCACCAGCGAATATTTGCATGTTATCGGAGGGCATGTTTCAGCGGGGCGGTTGTTTCGTACACTTTGATGTTTTGAGATCTTCTGTTCATTGAAAAGTAGAGGAAGAAAGCGAAGGCAGATAGATTTATACGTGTGTTCCAGGAGAAATGTCTCAGCTGCGGGCTGTTGCGCACTGATATTGAGATTGATATTGTTGTCTTGTGCCATACCAGTCAGAAAAAGAGAATACAAGATTCGTGTGTTTTGGGGAATTTTACAACGGGTTATGTTGGCATATATATTATGATGTATTTGATTTGGTATCGGTATTTCAGTACATTGTATTGGAGGAAAGATTTGTCATGTCTTATGAGTAATGGTTGGTGCTCAGGTGCTTTCCGAATACTTGTTTTGATCGGTCAAGAAGTTGAAAGGAAGTTTGTCTCCCAACTTTGTTTTGCCTGAGGATGTTTGTAAACTCTTTTGAAGCTGTTTTCCATATTGGTCCG